AATCAATGGTGGGAGGTAATTATCTCTTATCCCCTTACCAAAAAAAAAACATGGCATTTAAGAAAACATGGTCTTTTCCAAATTTCAAATCCAAACTTGGTCAAGATCAAATTTAAGAAACCAAGTTACAAGCGAGATAAGGGAGAAGTATAAGACGATTCTAGATCTTCTTAGCTTTTCCCCTCCTGCAATCCAATAAACAGTTTACATGATATGAGTTTTGTTTATATGAGGATGGTTGTGGGAGTCGAAACTAGCACAATTAGATTTGTAAGGGTTTCGTGAGGAGACAGAGATTTCTAGGCTAAGCTACGAGAGAAACGATGAGCAAAGAGAAACGTTTGTTATTGTTGTGTATGCTTTTATCAAAAGAGTTGCGGATCCCCTTCAAAAGGTTTTTACATCAACTATATATAATGTTCCTAAGTCGGCTAAGTTTCCTAAATCTTCGCGGATTCCCTCTTCGCCTATGTCGGTTTCGCCGAAGTGGGCTTCGTGACTGGACTGGGCTTGCTGTCTTAACTGGTCCAGAGGTGAAGCCCAACCCAGTTGATTGTCACCGCCATTTCGTGGGTGTCGAGAGGTCATCGACTCGATTACTCTTCGTGCCGCCGTAGACATCGGTCATCGGGTCCGTCGCCATCGGGTCCAATGTCATCGGATCTTGGGTGACTTCGTTGCTCGCCCCGGAGACGTGACCCGAGGTGAACAGTGCCCCGAGATGAATAGTGTCCCGAGGTGAACAGTGCCCCGAGGTGAACAGTGCCCCGAGATGAACAGTGCCCCGATGTGAATAATGACCCGATGTGAATAGTGACCCGAAGTGAATAGTGACCCGAGGTGAATAGTGATCCGAGGTGAACAGTGACGCCGATGTGAACAGTGACGCCGATGTCATCATCGTCGTGAGCGCTTATCGAGAGACCTAAGGCGATCGCTTGCTCTGTCCTGCGAGATGACTTAGGGGCCGTATTGTCTTAGGCGTCAAGAGTCTTGGTTCAGTCAAGATTTGAACGCTGACGTTGAGCGGGTGAAATCCGACCCCAACAATGATAACAACAGAAGCAGATGTGTATGTAGCTTCTTTCAATTTTCCATGAGTT